CCAGCAATGAATCGCATCACTACAGGTCCCCGGTTCGGAACCCGGGCTCAGACATCAAAGACAGTTCATCTAAAAAAAATTAACCGCATCCCTAGAAATGGACAATAGAATGGAAGCCAGATAACAAATGCCTCCATTATTTTCTAAGAGAGAAGTTAGTATTAAACAGTACCAATGGGTGCAACCTGCATATGGAAACATTATAAAAAATCTATCAAATGTCAATCAGGTTCCCTAACTTATCACAAGTGCTAAGAAGATAAAAAAGAACTAAATCAAAAGACAATACTACGTTCTCAAAATTGCTTAAATTTCTTAGTTTCTAACTAACCTGTAAGGTAGCTAAAAGGATTAAACCTAAATTCTTATTGTAGCATTTATACCATGGATGCCTCACCAAGTGATTGAAAGATATATTTCTACCTCTTCCTTTGTTGTTCTTGTTAATAGTTGACCTTATGACATCCTTTAGAGGCCTTAGACAAAGTGATCCTCTTTCCCCTTTCTCTTCATCCTTGTCATGGAGGCTTTTCAAAAGACGCTTCTTCAAGCCAGAGCTTATAATCTCATTGCAGCATCAGGAGTTGGTAAAGGATTCAAGAAATGAGGTCACTCACTTTTTGCTGATAATAGTCTATTGTTTCACAGACCTAAAATGGATGTCTTGATAAAAGTTGGATGTGTCATCACCTGTCCTAAAGTTGTATCCAGCCTCTGCATCAACTTGGAATAGCCAGAATTAGCTTCTTTTGGTGTTGTTTTGGGGTGGATGAATTCACTTACACTTTAAATGTATGATGCTTCTCCCTCTCAAATATCTTGGTTTCCCCCTAGGTGCCAAGTTCAAGGATCTAAAGTATTTAGGATCCTACTATCAGCATTATAAGTACTTTGCTTTCAAGTGCTTTTTGTGAGTCCCTTTCGTGAGGGATTCAGTCCTTTTTGTGAGTACTTTTCGTGAGGGATTCAGGAGGGTATGTTATCCCTTGCAATTTTGACTCGTCTTTCTTCATCTTAACGACATTTCTTTTTCTCCAGCAAGATGGAAAAGAGTTAGCTGTACATGAAGAAGATCCCTCTCTCCAAAGGCAAAAGGCTCACTCTTTTTGAAAAGACGCTCCCCCTTATCAACAATACTCTCGATTTTGCCCATATAACCTCTCTTTTCTACCTTGCTTTCACCAGTCAGCACATAAAATCTCTATATGCTATGAACAAGACTTTCTTGGCAAAGTGGCTCTGGAAATTAATGTCCAGAGGAAGTGGCTTGTGGAAAGAGTTGACTATTTCAAGTACGGGATTGAAGGACATCTAGGATTAATTAAAGTTATGTTCCAAGCCTTTGGAATTGGATTAGTAAGGATACAAGCTCTTTTATTGACATGATATTGTTTAGACTAGGCAGTGGTCGGAATATAGATTGCCTAGCACCTATGCTATTGCTAGGGTGAAGGACCCTTGGTCAATCAATGATATTGTGGTTAGAGATGGTGTTTCTTTTCCCTTGTGTGACATCCATCTGTTGTGGAATCTTAATGGTTGCGAGATTGACAACATGGTTTCTCTTGTGACTCTCTTACATTCTTGTCATTTTTTATCTCGGTACACGCAACCACCTTGTATGGGCTTATATAAAGAATGAATTGTTCACTGTGAGATCCTTCTACCACAACCTCATTTCCCATAACGATGTGGGCTCAAGATAAAGTTGGTAGCAAATCTATAAGAAAAAAAAAACATTTCTCTCATGTTGCTTTCTTTCCTTACGAGACTGCTTGGGGCAAAATTATTGGGATGGTCAACGAATGCCAATGGGCTTGCAAGAGAGTGAATTCCCAGACTCTCTTTCTTTGTTGTCCGGCAGCTTGAAAGTCAAGGAGTTCATCTCTTTGAATTGGAAAATAATCATGGGATTCATCTCTGTCCATCCCAAACTTGTCCTATACAGCCAGTGGTTTGGTTGCATATGGATTATTGGCATGAGATGGCTTTGGTGTGTACAAGTCTAGGAGAGACCTTATCTCCCTCATTTTGGTGGCTATCATTTGGGTTATTTGGAAATAAAGGAACAAGAGGCTTTCTATGGCACTTTGTCTCTTTTTACTAGCATTAGAGATTAATGGTTCTAGACTTGAAGTATTTTGTTTAATGGTCAATATGTTAACTATGGACAGGATCTAGTAAGCTTGTAAATATATTTTTTTTTCTTTTTGCAATTTGTAAAGCTTCTTATCTATTTGGGAGGCACGCCTTCAGTTCCTTGTTAATATGGTTACTTCTCTTATTCAGTTAAAGGAGGCCTCCATTCCAAAAACAGAGGTCTCTTTTTAATAAAGAAAAAGTGGTGCAAACAAGGAAGAAAAACCACCAAAGAAAAAGGATAAGTCATCCTCATACAAGAACAAAAAGAAAAAAGAAAGCAAAAAGGGCTTAGTATAAGTAATGGCTTAGTTTGCAAATGGAAACTCCATTGCTTTGCAAACTAGACAATGGCAATTTTACCCAAAAGCAAAAAAAGAAAAAAAAAACGAGTCATAGTTCATAAATGTGCCAGAAACACCACCTTATTCCAAATACGAGAAGAGCATTGAGCTCATTTATTAAAAATTTTGGCTTTGTGCTCCAGAAACATATGCCCAATAAAAAGAAACACAAAGAACAACAAAATGAAGTACCTTTTCCACTGGCAGTGTCTTTTCATCATCATCCATTTCATCGAGATTGTTGCTCAAGAGCAATGTCATGCAGTTCCTCTCAAGATAGAGTTTATCAATGAGCCCGGCCACTGGATTTCCAGATTTCTTCTCTTCCTTCACCATCCGAGCAAGATCCTCCCAATTCATTCCTTTTGCAAGAGCTACACGGACAGCTAATATAGCAGCATCCACATCTTCTAAGTTGTATTCTATCAATTCCGCCATTTTGACACAACGATCAACTTCTTTCATCAATGTTTGGACACGATTTTCCTAGTATAGAATGTAAGAGCATCAAACATGCAAATAAATTCATAAGAAATCATAGAATTTATGCTCGAGCAAATTTTCTTTGACAACCACTGGTATCAACTTCTAAAACATGGAAACATTAAAAAAAGTGTAAAGAAATAAGAAAAGAATACATTATTCACATTAATTCATCAATGCATGCTAGCACAATCAAATGATACCATCCTAAATAGAACTGTTACCTTATAAATAAATGTTATCACTAAGCCTTAAGACAATAAACTTCAGTCAACTATCAAATGGTTTTTTTGGAAGAAAAAAAGGTAAGTTTGTTTTTTAGAAGGAAAAATAGTTTATTATTATTAATAAAGCACCAAAAGTATCTGATCCATAAACAAAAACCATATAATCTCTAAATTACAAGCAACATATCCTACACATTTACAAGTTCCCCTTCCCAAAGAAGGGATGACTCTAAACAATGACAAGAAATTTGGAGCCAAGCAACCTCAACTCAAAGTATTGGTACTTTCATCCTTTCAAAAACCTTCCAATTCTCATTTTTCCATCTGCTTATAACACTTAATATACTGAGAGAGTAGTACGCCAAATTATCTTCTCTACACTTTGATGTATCGATTCTAGAGTCTACTTGTTCTGCATCATATATAATACATAGTAAATCTGATAAAATCTAGTTTTTTGTTAAGATTATTTTATCAAATTACACATTGATGTCCTTGGATCCCAAAAGAAAACATCATGTTCAAATCAAATAGCACTAAACCTCTCTATTACAGTCCAAAAATTTGATCTCTAGCTCTCAAAACCACGACTATCTTGCAGAGAAGCCAATTATAAAAAAAT